TATTATTTTTTAACAAAGAATTAAATGGGCAATTCTCAACGCATTTCCCTAGACTAATAAAATAAGGTTCTTAGCATTAAACACACTCATTATTTTAACATTCTAAACAATTCACATCTGCACATTTATTTTCAACACAAATCATATTATTGCCGTCCTAAACACTGACCTCTTTATTTTAATCACACTCATCTAGGCATTAATTATTTTTCACATATCCATTACATTTACAAATATTATCTATTGACAATTTAATACCCTAAGGGCAAGTTAAACAATCTGTTTCACTAGGACCTTTACAAGTAAGACAGGACTCATGGCATGTATCAATCCATATATAAAAATTTTTGATTCCAAATCCTGGGTTATTAATATTTTCACCAAAATCAGTAGTAAATTTTATAAAAAAATCTGAATTATTATGTTAGGCATTTTAATAAGTTTACAACATCTTATCCACATAAAACTTTAAAGTTTTATCTTTTAAAGAATATTTTTCTTATTGACATATCTATAATTATTAAACTTAAGTATAAGCATATTCAATATGAAATTATTAATTAAAATTCATCTTTAAAATATTTTAATTAAATTAATTTTCTTAGAATTAATAAAATAATAAATCGAATTAAAATGATATAAAATAATGAGGAGGTATATTTTTAATTGTTTTTATTATTTCAGGAGTATCTTTTTTAAATATACCAAATACATCTTTGTCTCTATATTCTGCATATTGTGATTCTGAAAACATCTATGTTATTTATAATTACTCCAACCTGAAGAAGAATCTTATTTTAATACAGGAGAAACAAATTCTTTAAGAAATAAAACTTCACGAGATTAAATTATTAATACAATGTAATTTAAGATTATTATTTAAAGCATAAGGATTAGAAAAATTTTAAAGTAATTTATTTTAAAAGTTTTTAAAATAATATATTTATTTATTAAATATAGTTTATTTAATATATTTTAATGTAATTTGTTTCAAGAATATATAAGTATATAATAATGTTTATTTTTATATATAAAATATATAGATATATATTTATATTTAATTAATTTTTATTATTTTAATATATAGACATTTTTGTTTTATTTATTTTATTTAAAAATAATTTAAGTTATTATTAAATTATAATTTATAATTTATAATAATAAATATAATTATTTTTATATTAAATATTTTTAATAATATATAAATACTATAAAATTAAACATTTTTATTTATTTTATATATTATAATTTTTAATTAATTTGTTATATATAAATATAATTTTAGTCTTTGATTAACTTAATATAATATATTAATATAATTTAAATTAAATACAATATTACCAATATATTATTTTTAAATATATAGAAAAAATATTAATTAAAGATAAATAAATATATAAATTATTTAATGCTATTTTTTATTTCTTAATTCATATTTATTTATTATTTTAAAAATAATTATTTAAAGAAGAAATCCAAATAAAATTCTTATAATTTTTAAAATTTAAATAAATCCTATTATTTAACTTACCTAGAAACACAATTTATTTATAAACAAATATAAATAATCTAAAAAATTATTACTATAAAAAAAAAACCAAAATTAAATTAATTATAAACAAATTATAACAAAAAAAATGTTAATTAAATATATAAATAAAAGAAAATAAAATATAACTTTTTAAAGATATTAATATAAATACAGTTATTTTAATAATAATAATTTTAAACAAAAGCTAAATTAGATTTAATTTAAATATATATGTTTTAATAAATAAATATAAGAATATAAATTTTCTAATCTGAATTTTAATTTTACGATATAAGAAATAAAAAAAATATTATATAAAATAATAATATATATAAATTAATCAATCACAATTATTTGATAAAATGCTTGTTTAAAATTTTATCACATTTTTAACATTAATTAACTCCTTTTTAGCATACCTTTTACATTAATAAAAATAATCATAAATAACACATGTATTACCTAACTGACAATAATTTTCAGGACATATATCGATTCATGTATTCTCGAACATTACATTTCTACTTAGGCACTCAAAAATCAATTACTCAATATTTAAATTATCTTAGCAATATTCAATCGTAATAAACAATTTTCTAAATCCATACGATTATTGAGACTTTAATGGAAATAACTAAAGTAAATTAGAGGGCATAAGTAAGTACTTATATAAAAAAATCAATCTATTCAATCGAACTTCCATCTTATCCCTCTTTAATATTAAATTCTTTATAATAATTAAACAATTCAGCATATTTATCATACTTTCCGCAACTTTCAACAACGTTTCCAGTAAATTAAATATTATTATTTAAATCACAAATTGTTTTTGATAAACACGTTTTAATTTGAAAATTTGTATCATCAATAGCATAGTACTTATACCCAACATTAATTTAATAAAATCCTCTTTTCGGCTATAATATTTTCTTAATTAAAATATCATTATTTTTATTATCAATTCCTAATGAAAATCCTCTAACATGCCAAACTCCATTACATATTGTAAATCTTTTTTATTTTTATCCTCCCAAAAAAATTTCTTTCCTTTCATATTCTTCTTACGAGAAATACTATGATGAAAAAGCCTAAAGTAAATATTCCCCATATTTTGGTATTTTAGCCCAATCTATACATATATTATTTTTTAACAAAGAATTAAATGGGCAATTCTCAACGCATTTCCCTAGACTAATAAAATAAGGTTCTTAGCATTAAACACACTCATTATTTTAATATTCTAAACAATTCACATCTGCACATTTATTTTAAACACAAAAAATATTATTGTCGCCTAAACACTGACCTCTTTATTTTAATCACACTCATCTAGACATTAATTATTTTTCACATATCCATTACATTTACAAATATTACCTTTAATATCGGTTTACAACGTAATCCCCTAAGGGCAAGTCAAACAATCAGTTTCACTTGGACCTTTACAAGTAAGACAGGACTCATGGCATGTATCGATCCATATATAAAAATTTTTGATTCCAAAACCTATGTTATTATTATTTTCACCGAAATCAGTAGTAAATTT